CTGGCGACGTGGGTGCCCTTCGGGGTCTCGATCTTCGGCCAGTTAGCAATAAAAAGCATAGTTGGATTGCTACAAACCTTCCAGAAACTGAGAGGGTTTGCAAAAGGCGGGGTCTATGATCATTGCGTGGCTTCAGCTGCTGTCATGGCATGACAACCGCATTTCAGCCCCCAGAAGGACTCTGAGAGCTTTTTCGCAGTACATTAAATTCTATCACGACCTGAACAGACATGGCCATGTGCTCTGTACAAATTGATACTAAGAAGAGACGTAGGACAGTGCGAAAAACGAATCTCTCCTGATTTTTAGTGAGCCAGAGCAGGTCGTCCTCAGCGTGGTAGCGCTTCACCCTTTTGCCGCTGTGGGGTCGGGCATTATTGGAGAATGCATGGGTGCCAAATGCCTAGACTTTCTATGGTTATGGTGAAGAGTGCGAGTCATCATAGACATGAGCGGTTGCTCTGCACAGCGGTGAATCTTTGAGTGGCCGTGAGAGCGTGTCGGCGACCACGTTGTTGATGCCCTTACTGCAATTCACTGTAAAAGCGTACTTGTACTGAGGCAAGATAAGTTTTTCCTAGTACACCTTTTATATTTGAATGAGAGTCAGTAAAGACTAAAGTTATTGGTTCGATTCTTTTCAATTCGTTTGAGTTGCAGCCTACTGTGTCCTCGATAGACAAGACGCTCTTTTTCATTGTTTGCGCCAAATGCTATACGAAACTAGCTGGGCATATTTCGATGGCATAGAGGGTGCAGTACGACGCACTGGTTGGGGGCTCACTCCCTGACGATTGAAGTTGACTGCGCATACTAGAAAAGTAAGACGAATGTAAGGAACGCCAAGTACTTGAAGATGTAATAAGCCGGTTGGAGGTGTGCCCCAAGCTGGACCCCAAAACTAACCCGAAAAGGTGCTCTTTGTGACAGGCTCTTTGAATTTAGAAGCAGTTTAACAGTGCCTCCACCAATGACGCGGAGGTCGTCCTCCTGTAGGGATTCCTACACTTGAAGCCTTCTTACAGGGCACGAGTCACCGGCTTATGTGCGGTTCAGCTCAGGAGCAAGCTTTGAGAAAATTGACAAAGCTATTTTACAAGAAACTAGCAAAAGACTGATAGAGCGAGAAACATGAAAGTTTCGTTTGTAAAGGCTACAACGCAAATGAGCAACTGCATTATGAGTGGCTTATCTTAGATCGTTCAGACGTTTTGCGTTAGGTGGTCGCAGATTGGCCAGTGCCTCAGCCGCTCAATGAGGTGAAGACGACTCTCTATGCAGTCCGCTCGGCAGCGCTATCCGAAAAGATGACACTGGAAACGCATCCCCTATCACTGACTTTGCAGTCAGCTATTTTTATAGGAATGCAGCTGATGCTCAAACAAGAAACAGCAGGAGTAGCAAATTTGGGCACGAGTTCTCGGATGTAGTGAATGAGGAGGTGTTAGCAGGCTGGGAACCTGCTGGCAGGCCAGCACACCGTATTAAGCTAATTCTTGGATTGGTTCCAAGCCATGAGGCAGAGCATGTGACGTCCACACAGCATGAAGAGCTTAAGCGGCAACAAGACAAAGTGTTGACAAATGCACAGTTTAGGAATTGATCGGCATCACTGGTTGCTACCCGGTTTCGGTGCAAAACAAGTAGGCAGGTGGCTACGTGTGCAATTGCACTGGGGCCTTCAGAAATTGCTGTAGAGCAGAAGTTACCGATGCCGCATAATGGCGAACACTTGATAAGCTACACGGATAAACAGTGTACTCGACCATTGACTTTGCAAACATCCTCTGCAGTCACTCAGATGACCAGCACAAAGCGGCGTTCCACAAATGCACGTGTAGATTGGAGTACACGAGTATGCCGTTTGCACTTGTCAATGCCCTGGCTGAGGTGCAGCGGCAACTTTATCGGATTCTCGTAAGCCTGGAAGGAGGGGTTGACGAGATTTGTAGATGGACTAAGTTGTATGTACCCAAAAGGCTTATGAGCACCCACAGTACTTGCGGCATGTGCTCAGCTGCTGGTTGGCAAGCAGTAGTAGATGTGTTTGCCATGCATCTTGATGCAAAAGTCAGTCTAATGAACTCTGTCTCTACACTCGTCCTCTGGCCTTTGTGCAGCCTCGAAATTAGGAATGCTGCATAGTTGGGCTGTGCTAGTATGCAGACATTGCTCTAAGAGGCGCAGAGGCGCTGCTGAACTAGTGTATGTCTTTACACAATCTACTTATCTTTTGCTTGCTCCTAGCAGCGGGATTGCATTTCAGCTTTCCGACGCAGCGAGCCACGGCGCCGTTGTGAGCGTGTTGGTTTGGTCCCTCGTGCCTTGTTGGGTCTTTTGTGCGCCTTTCTTCCGGCCAGTTTTAGTTCAGAGGCTGTTGGCTTTGCTTTTCTGAGTTGCATAGTTTCCGTGTTTGTGCCTGCATAGCAAGCGGCGAGAGGACGGAAATTGTTCCGCAACCCTGAAGGCAGTTGTTGTTGGCATACAGGGACTGGCCACGAGGATGCGTGGTTTTTAGATTGAGGGAAAGGATGTAGGCGGCAAAGCTATACACAGATACTTCGTAGTACGCTAGAGTAATATGGGATTGATCAGTTGATTTGGCAGAACGTAATGCTTATTTAATACACAGTAATAGTAACTGGCTAGAAAATGGCGTAAGGTTGTGTGTGTGTGCGCTATATGCTCAGTGTGCATCCCTCCGTCTGGGATGTCCCCGAAGAGGACAAATCCCCAGACTCAGTACACATATAGACGAGAGCTACTAAGCGTTCTTATAAAAGTGCTACTGCCTTTCCGCTACCGTTGCTGCTAGGGGCCTGACATGAGGAGAGACGGACATCTAGAGTGCCTGTATCTGCAGCGTCTAAGCAATCCGAGCACAGAGGCCTTGTTGCACACAGTATCTAGCGCACAGGCATGCAACGTTATCTCTTCTTGTGTCTAGCTATTGGTTATATTTGATAAATAAAATAGATGAACTGAAAAACCAATTAGTCCACTTACTAATCCTTAGTCAAATATTTCCTGTGAAGTAGAAAATACCCTACGTGTAGTTTTGCCCCTATATTCCTCCAGTTTTAGCTTGAGCCATTTCAGGGTAGGACCCTGCCCTTTTAGAAACGCAACCTAGAGACAAACATGAAATATATGAGGCGTATGTTCTTGCGCATCCATGTTTGTGCGTTGCACATTGCTGCCCCTTCTGTTGCCTGTGCCGAAAAACTAGAAAATGCTCGAGCACGGGTGTGCATTTTTGTTATGATATATGGCTCGGAACGCATGCTAACCCTAGGTCTGTGCAGAATCGAAAACGTGAAGATGCTCGTTGTTCGTGTAGAAAAGAAGTTGCTGAGCCATCGAAAGCTACAGAGCGTACTGGGGACGGAGGTCAACCTGATCTAACCGCAACTATTTCGATTGAACGACAAAAAAGAATAAGCGTCCTAAAATTTGTTGTGTATTCACGGAGGAACAAGGAAAACACCCCTCGGTTTATCGGCATTGAACGCTTCGTACAATGCCTCGACCAGTGCATGCAGTCCCAGCACTCGCGGAGCGGCCGCTGCCACGAGTATCTGCAGGCAAAAGCAGCGACTCAATCCTGCGGTGAAAAATTAAGCAGCCCCAGATTTTAGCCCCAAAGGGCCTCTAGAAAGAACGAAATTCACACACCTCCTCATCTGCCCTGCGTACCTACCGCTGGGAGAATGGCTCCCGTGTGCGGAGGCAGCAGCCTTGGTGCGGCGCTCCTGCGCCGTAGTTATCCGCGTTTGTTCTTTGCGCCTGCGCCACTTCAGTCTTTCAGCCCAACGAACCCGCAGTTTCATCCCCCTGGAGCAGACTGCGGCGCCAAAAAGCCCTGGCAAGGAATGGACATGAGGAAGATAGCATCTCACAAATTTGTCAGCCACAATGTAACTCGTGTCCCCATGAGCTCGGGTACGCCAATTGCGATGACTAAGCTGCTTCTTAATGCGTCCATGGAAACGCTTCTCCTGCGTAAACGGTAGCCGAGTCCTATGAACTTCTTACTTGAGCTCAACAACTCATCTGTAGTCTACTATTCGTTTTACGCAGCACTTTTTAACGTGTGTGTATTCCTTTCATCAGGTTACCAGTACCTGAACTTCACAACTCCATCAGTTCACGCGCCGACTCACGGGGACATTGCAGTCTTCTTCGATACAGCAAACTGCTATAAGGACTACACGCCCGCTCAGCTGTTCAAAAGCGCTTGGCCTCAGCTCCGGTTTTTCCTTATGGCTGCTATCTCCGTCGCAGCACCGGCAATTCCGATTCTCCTCTTTATCTTCTATATGAACAGATTCGAACCCATGGAACAAACTATGGACAGAGAAGAATACTGGAAGAACTTCAAGTAAGATTATGTGTATCTGCTAACGAGATTTAGCGATGGACCGTGTCGGCAAGTCATTCTCTTGCATCACGGTGCATGCCCATGGATGCTGTTTCTGTTTCTATTGTGGGAATCATACGAGAGCACCTCCCAAATAATTTCGTTTGAGCTTCTGGATACTACGTTTACTTTTCATGTTAGGTAGTTTTGTCTCCTCCCTCCTCCATCTGTATTTCGCTAAAATTCGATGAATGAATTCTCCTTTGCAAAATTTAATTGATTAATGGGTTTTGTTTTTCTTGCAGGTGGAACTACTTCGGACCTGAGCTGGATCACCACGCGTACGAACAGTATCTGGAAGCCAGGAGAGCCAAGAAGTGGCGCGGTGTCGACGTGAACCCGGAGGACTACATTCCTTCCCAATATAAGGGCGAATAAATGCAACCAATAATGCAACAAGAAGTTTTGAATGAAAGGCATTTTGGAGGCAGTGCTTGATGGCTGCAGTACCAAAAGGCCTAGAACCGGCGTGGCGTTGGTTAATGGGTGGACTCTGTTCTGTTGGCATGTATGTGCACCTATGCAAATACATGCCCATATTCGTACGTGTTTGATGTCCGCGAGCGGCTGACAGACGCTTGGGGCATCATGTGCCACACATACAAAAGCACCTTGCTCTAGCCCGAGACCGATCCACGGCCTGAGCTTTCTCTTTTTCTGAGTGCAATAGTGGCTTTATTATGCCAAGAGGTACTTGATAGCGGCTGACGCAGAGAAAACAGTAATTAGAAACGCTGTCTATTAATGGACAGGCGACTGTGCCAGTCTGCAATACCGTATAGATGAGGCAAAGGGGGCAGGCCAAACCGAGGCTGGATGGCACATCCAGAGGGACGCACGGCGCATATATCCGCCTTGGCAACATCAATAAATTCCTGGTCTTCCTAAAGGTAAGGCAACAAGATATCACTGGCGAACCACCACAAGACATTCTGCTGAAGTTCCTGCCGCTCTCTCTCCTGTTCTAATACAGCCGCAGCATCCTTAGCCCGTAGTTCACGCCTCATCTTCATTCTCTGCCTCGCCATCTCTGCAGTCTCCGCTAACTCCCTTTGAGCAATAGCGGGCCCTGAGAGAGCGGTAGCGGACGCACAAGGTGCATCCGCAGGACCTGGTGGTCTGCCCGCGGTTCCGTCATGATTGCTCCATGTTTCTTGGGCAGCAATGCGCGTAGTTCGAGCCTCGCCGCCATCAGCAGGGAACGGTAGCTTTGCAGCTTCCAGCCGTCTGTCTGAAATCCTTCGCAAGAGCACTCGGCGTGTGTCGATGCTCCCCCACTGGGGCGCTGGCCGGGGTGCGCCCATGGGGGCGGAGGCTGTTCGCCGCAGTGGTGGCTCTGTAGAGTCTCTACATCTAAGATTCGGAATACTGCAGGATGAGATGCGTCGCATTACTCGTGGCCTTGTGTGGCTGCTGCTGCAACTACAACTACTACTGCTGCTGCTTCTGCCTGTACGGGGGGTTCCGCTGGTGCTGCTGCTGCTGGTAGAAGAAAACGAGCCTGCCGATTCAGTCCAAGCACCCGCCGTCTTGTGACGTCGATGCTTCCGGGACTCCCTGGACAAGTGCAAGAGCTCCATCTGCAACGCGACAATCCCGCTCGCTGTTGCTGCGGTTTCCTGCGTCACTGATGCTCCACATGGATCGATTTTTGGCTCTTTCTCGTCAGCGAAACCGTCATGGGCATCTCTCACCTTGAATCGGAGGGCTGCCGCTAATTCCTGCATAAAAGAGTATCCAGCACCTCGCTGCTGCTCGTGCTGCTGAACACGTTTCTGTTGCACTCTGCCTTCCGGTGTCTGCTGACGCTGCTCCATGTCATCGGCTGGAGCTTCTAGCCCTGAAAATACATAATTTAGCGATAAGGCTCTCAAAACTCCAAACAGAAACAACGGGGGACGGACGAGGCAACGTGAGGCACAAACAACCTTAAAGTTTAGGGTACACGGCTTCTAGCAAAGCGACGCACTTTGGAAGTCATCGCATGATTTCGTGCTGCAGTGAGTCCTATCCCTGCAAAAAAGCAGCAAGTGCAAAAATGGCAAGTAATAGCTAGCCATCCTGTGGAGGATATCCTAGTGGCAAGCTGCGCCTACAGACAAAAAGGATTAAATACGGACTCAATTACCCCTTGTCAAGAGTGCTCCCTTCTGCATTAGCATACGGCTCCAGGTGATAATCTTGGTAGGTACAGCCACCACTGTCGGGCGCTTGCAAAACGACCTCCATCCAGCCTTCTTCCTCTTCCTCCGAGTCGCTCCAGGTTTCGCTGGAAGACTCGATGACCATTGGAAGGAAGCTGCTCGTGCGGCTACTGGTGCTGCTGTGGCTGCTGCTGCTGCGCTCAATATTACCTACGACTTGCAGTACTTTTGGTGTGGGTATGCTTACAAGGTTCGTCCCATCATGCATTCCCGGGGGCCTAAAGCCAATAGGGTCCAGACCAGGCAGCGCCCCCGCTCCCGCGGCTTGGCTTAACTGCTGTTGCATCTCTAGTAAGCTTGAATGCCTCAAGACTGAAGCAACTGCTGGCGCACGTGTTGCTACCTGTGCTGGTGCTGCTGCCGACCCTTCCGTGGGGCCTGCAGCAGCAGCAGCTGGCGCTACACCAGTGTCCGCTCTCCGAAGGCGCGGCTTCGGAAGTTGGAGTGTGGGTGGGATGAAACTCTGTGTCCAGTCTAGTCCATAAAGCTTTTGTAAGACCAGTCAATCCGACTATTCTCCTTCTACGCCCCACGCCTCTGGTCCACAAGGCTCGCCTCGCAGCGACGCTTGGAGGCGAGGAATCTCATCTGCAGGGGCTAAAAAGGGCGCCGTGGGTGCCCGAATGAGAAAAAAGCGTGAGATTTGGCATGCGAGAAGCAGCTCTTTTCGTCGCAGCGCAGGGGGCGGTATAGCCGAGAGCAGCGAGTGGCCCCGACGAAAGCGGCTAAGGGTCGTTCTACTTTTCGAGAGGGAACGTACAAAACACACCTCCAGCGAGAAGCCGCGGAGATTCAGCTTCGTCGAAGAAAATAGAGCTGTTTCTGCACCGAACAATCATGAATGAAGAGTCAGGAGGTGTTGTGCCTCCTGAGTAAGAACCGTGGAGCGAACAATCCGCTTTGGCCTGCCAGCGAGGCTGGGTATGCTGGTGGGGAAGGCAGAGACACTAGAGAGAGTCATTTAATGCCTTTGGACAAATCAGGCATCCTGTAGATCGAGGGATGGAGTGGCGATAAAGACACTAGCGATAGGGTGCCGCTGGGGGCCCCCCTAGTGCATGGGGGCCCCCGCCTCGACCTGTAAGTGAAACTAGACAGATGCCATCCATGAAGATAAGCGTGGGGGAAAACAGAAATTTAAGTGACTGATTGAGTGGGGGGCTTATTGCAGCGTAGAAGCAAATAAGTGAAAGCTTTATCGAATAGGTGATATAGTGTATGGTTTCTTGGGGGAAATCCGTTGAGCCGTACGCCTGTAATCTTATAGTGAACCTGCCTGTAGTGGATGTAAAACAGCATTTAGTGGAATAGCGGACGCATCTTATGGCTTCACGCGGCTTTAACCTCGAATCTGCCTGCAAATCTTTTATTCAGGAAGCATCAGGGGTACTTCAACTGTCATATACACATCACACCACATCAAAGGACACATTCGGTGAAATGTTAAACCCCATAGCTCAATATTTGCTTTTGAGCTAAAGAAGGTGAACTCCTAGGTGGCCATAAAACTCGTGCAGACACGGCGAAAAAGCGAGATTGCAGAGGCGACATTATTTCAGCATTTAAGCGGGAACAGAGTGACGATGAGTGTACAAAAAGGGGAAACAGCATTCTGCTGTGCTTCTACATTATCATCCAGCCAAACCATGTGCCCCAACTCCAGACTCAATTCCGTCTTGATTACAACTGACCTCTCTTGATCCCTTACCTACGCCTCTCAGACTTACCTGCACGAATGTCGAGTGAGAGCTAGGTTGCGCGTGGCTGCACCCTCTGAGCGATTCAAACATTGTAAGGTAGGTGCACATAGCATATAACACAAACGCACACAACGATGATACTTTGCGTATCGTGCTAATGTAGCCTTTAATGAAGTAGTTGTACGGAGCAGCCGAATCAAAGAGTCACTTGTTTACCAAGCCGTGATTAAATAAATCTAATGTAGAAGGCGCCAGCCCGCTATTTTTCTTCCTTCGTTTCAAAAAATTACACCCTCCTGCTCAGTGCCGGTACGGCACATCAACTGCCTCCAGGACAGCGGGAGAGTTCCCGCCTCTCACTACTTGCACGGTAGGCACAAACATGAAAACAGTGCAATTCAGAAAGTCAAAGTCATAATCAACTGCTGAAATAAGACCAACAGGGATAAAGACCCACATAAGAGCCAACAAGGCAGGAGGGACCAAACCAACACGCACCATACAGCGCCACAGCTAACTTCGTGAGACTGCAGAAATGCAAGCCCCGTTTTACGATAACGCAGAACACAAGTAGAATGTGTAAAGATAAAGGACACAGTAGATGCGCATGTGTCTCATAGAGCAGTATCTGCATACCAATACAACCATGTCATGCAGCACTCTTGATTTCAATGGCGCGAAAAGGCATAAGGAACAGTGTAGGGTCAGCATATCATAGACTGCCATCGCATCAAGACGCATGCCAAAAGCACCTTATCACCAATGGGCCTAGTTAGTCAAGCAGTACTTATAGATGAAGGTTGGTAGATGAGACAAAGCATACGCTGGGGAAGGACAATTTACAGGGAAATCCAGAAGAACGTTCGAGGCGAGGAGCAATTCGAACCAATGCAAGACCCGTAAACTTCTCCACAGGCAATGCAGCTCACAAATATCTCCAGCCAGGAAAGCTAGATTTCTCCATTACATGTGACTAGAAATTCCTGTCTAGTGTATCCTTGGAGCTCAAAAGTCTTGGAACCCACCGCGTCTGTGGCTCCCTCGAGATCCCGTGTTTTCACACGGGTGAGGTGCCTGCTCAGCAAAGCCTGGTACTAATTCATATGGCTTTGCCAATATTTAAAGTCTACGACACGTCCATTTGGAGACAGCAATGGAATAAGGAAAAGCATTAATTTGTAAGGGGATGATCGTGGTCCTAGCCACGTGACGGCAAAGGTCTTAGTTCGTGCATCTTCTGGTGCACCCCTTAAAGGCTGCCTATATGCCAGGACCAAAATTCTCAGACTCGAAACAACCTGTGGATCGCTGCTTATCTTGACTCAGTACATGTCTCATAAGCGTCGCGCATGCATTCGCATGCACTAGCTGACTGCTCTCTCAATTATTCCTCCGAAAAGGGTAGTAGCTGATCCCAGACCACTAAATCCAAGCCCGGATCAGAGAAGCGCTTCTCCACGTAGACCAAGGATGCGAAAGAACAGTGGAACACGAGTGTACTGCTTTTTACAGACCCACTCAGCACAAGGCAAAAGCTCAAGCGAAGCAATTAAACTTCTTAAAGCACAGAGTCGCAAGCACTACAT